GATACATTCTTAGGAAAAGTAGAAGAAAAACCTGAAGATTAATTTTTCCTGAAATAAATTACATGAACAAAACTTTTTTTTTTAATATGGGACTTTTACTAATTATATAGTTCATTTCTTATAAAGCACATGCCTTTGTCATAGCAGAACTTCTCATTTCAAAATCAAGTGAATCTCCTATAAAAGTAATCAGAAAGTGAAAATAGGACACAGTCACAGGAAATTCGTATTAAACTGGACAAAATTATAAAATGATGCAATTATTAAGAAATAAGGTAACAACTGGGACATTATGTACTAAGTACTAAGTGTTCTAGCTCCCCTATGGCATTACCTTATGTAGGAACTCTGGGATACAAACAGAAACATTAAATTGAGGAATTGGATCGCATTGAGTTGTGATTTCTACTCTTAGTCCAGACAAGAGAAAGGAAATTGTGAAGGGAAATGAAGCGTTAGATTTTCTCATTTTAGGGAGGTGCTTTGTTATTTGAAGAAATTACTGTCTCTATTTTGTACAGTTATGTTTAAAGCTTCCATAAAATTGGAAATCATAAAGCAGAAAAGAGGTGAAATCTGTCTCCACTGTTCCTGGGATTTCTGCACCAAGCCCCAATATGCCCACCACTCCCCGCACACACCTCTGACATGAGGCAAAACAGAACTTAGAAATGGTCTAACAGAGTTCCTCAGAAATAGGCAGATTTTTCCTATAACAGATTTCCCCAGGCCTCCAAAAGCCATGGAAAAGCACTCAGATCATGAAGGCCTTCACCATCCAAGTGGAGGGTGTTGTCTATGCTGTGAATGTGATGGAAGATCACTAGAGCTGAATGAGAATTCTCATAGGATGTAAGAGCATGATGAGTGTTGGACAGGGGGTGTCCCTCTGACAGCAAGAGAAATACACCAAGGCTTCTCAAACGTATTTCTATTCAAAGAGAGCTACCCAAACCACAGTGTAAGGTCTAGCTTCCTCCTTGACCTTTGGGCCTCACCTCTGTCATCTGCTTTATTCATTCCCACCTACCTGGGTGGATGGCTACTGTCTCCTTTCCCTTCACATCCCAGAGCTCCCTCTTTTGCTCCAAAAAGATGACCAGGTCTGGCTTTGACACAACAAGACCTGTTTATTAGAAAAAAGGAATGAGTATTGCTAGAGATTCTAGCTTTCAATCCAGTATTATGCTCACTAGAGAAGAGAAGACACTGTAGAATTCTAGAAAATGACTTCCCAGAAGCTGTGGTCTAACAGCCCATTGAGAACATAAAGGAGGGATTTGTAATGTTCAGATCTTGGATTCCACTTCCAAGTACTACATACAATAATAAGGAGTGGAAATTGGAGTTCAGATGTGGGCAGTACCATTTTATGCCCCTCAATATTTAGAATCGCCACTAATCTACAGAAATGATGATGTTACCTTAAGGAAGGGGAAGCTAAAGCTGGAAAGGAAACATGAAGATTTTTCTCTCCACCTATAAACCCTTACTTACTTCCCTTACTGCAGCCATCTGAATCCCAGTCGTGGAAAGAAGAATCTTCCAAGAGACGGTCTTCAAGGGAAGGAAGAAAACCCTGAGTGTGGTTTGGGAAGTCTGGAAGGAAGTTATCCTCACCCAAGAAGAGAAGGTTTCCATAGTTCTCTAACATCACATCCCTGTACAATTCCCGCTGAACGAGGTTCAGGCATCCCCACTCCTCCTGAGAGAATTCTATGGCCACATCCCTGAATGTCAGCAGTCCCTGCAATAAATACCACAGTTACCAAGTGGCCATTGACAGAGTTCACAATGGTTCCTAAGATGAAAGAGGGAGTTAATGTCACCAGCTAGACCCACGACCTAACCTTTACTGCTCACCTGCTAGTACCCCTTGAATTTGTCCCAAATTTTCTTTAAGCTCTTTTTCCCAGCCTTTTTTTTTTTTTTAAGATTTTATTTATTTATTTGACAGACAGAGACACAGGGAGTGAGGGAACACAAGCAGGGAGAGGGGGAGAGGGAGAAGCAGGCTTCCCGCTAAGCAGGGAGCCTGATGCGGGGCTCGATCCCAGGACCCTGGGATTATGACCTCAGCCGAAGGCAGAGGCTTAACGACTGGACTGGAGCCACCCAGGCACCCCTCCAGCCCATCTTTAAATTCAGGCAAAAAAAACCCCAGGGACATAGTTTCCGATAATGGAAACAAAAACTACTACACAAGTAGTAAATACTACCCTGACTAAATGCTCTAGCACCCAGACCACCCAGACCAGTTTGGGCTTAACTGCCAACTCACACTTGTACAGATGCACCTCGGAGTGACCCATGGAGTGACCTACAGTTACCTTTACCTCATTATAATACTAAATTCTCCCCCAAGGAGGAGCACAAAGCTCATTTACATAACATACAAAGTGTGGTTAGAATGGTTTCCTTAAAGCAGATGCATGACCTTATGCCCACCTCTTCATAAGATGACAAGGCTGCCCTTTCTAAATATTCATCCTAAGCCTAAATAAAAGGAACTCATTCACTCTTGCTCTGGGAGTCTTGGCTTTGGAAATTATTCCCTGTGATCTCCTTATTTACTATAAATAAATTCTCCTTCGTGTGACAACTCCACTGTGTAGTTTCTGTCTGTAATTCACCGGGAAGCAAATTCACTTTAGTTCAGTTACAAATTTGGTGATCCAGATGGGACAGGTGTCTTTCCCAGGTTCTGGCCTCTGGTTCCCTGGCTTCCAACAGATGAAGCAGTGAGCACCACAAGCTCACCCCAGCTAAACTGTTCAAGTTACTGGGGCCGGGGGCAGATTCCCTGAGGGAGGAAGGGGGCTCTCACTCTTCGTGCCTGTGACTGCCAGCCTGGGGTTCTGACATCACCTGAAATCCAGCATCCACTCGGACTACTATTACTCAGAAGGACTTCTGTTGGGGTAAGTTAACAACAGGTACGTGACACGGCTTTTTTTTTTTAAGATTTTAATTATTTATTAGAGAGAGAGTGAGATCACAGATCATGAGCAGGGGGAAGGGTAGAGGGAAAAACAGACTCCCCGCTGAGCAGGGAGCCCAATGAGGGGCTCGAGCCCAGGACCCTGGGATCATGACCTGAACTGAAGGCAGACGCTTAACCACTGAGCCACCCAGGCGCCCTGTGACACAGCTTTCAGAGGTAAACTAGAGTTGTCTCACAAAGTCTGGGCAAGTCAGCATAATATTAGGTCAGAATACTCTGGGGAAATTGAATACTCATTCAACTTGAGTCTAGACATCCCTGATGACAGATCACAGGATTCAGCCTTTCACAGGCTTGGGATGGTCTAACCTAGCAAAATGGGAGTGACCTAACGGAGACTAGTCTAAGGTCTGTGAGATTGAAACCTCCATCTCACCTGGTTGTTTGGTCTGTTTGTTGTTCCCAGTTTAAATGTCCACCCTGGCTGCTTGGTCCGTAAGCACTTCCTCCTTTCCCTTAACCCTGAAAAAAGGAGGCAGCAACTCCCTGGGTCACTGGAAGCATGCACTTGGCACAGTAAGAGTTCTATTTAGCTGGTTAAAAGACAAATGCTTGTTAAAAAAAAAGGGGGGGGGCATTCTAAAATCCACAAAAATACAAAGTAACCCAAATTTTTTCACATCTACGTATCTGGGGTCATTTTTGTAAATTAAAGTTTAAGCTTGTTGGTTTAACTAAAATAGACTTGTCTTTTGGACAATGCCAGGGGAGGATTGGTGAACAGACTTTACTGTAATGCCAATGGCCCCCGGTGTTTGTAGATACATTCACTAGATGGACTAAGGCCCTTCCCTGAAGGACAGAAAGAACTAACAAAGTAACTAGGTCCTTAGTAAAGGAGAAAATTCCTCAATTTCAGTTGCCAAGGTCAATCCAGAATGACAATGGGCCAGGCTTTATATCCAAAATCATTTGAGGTGTCATGTAGAGGTTACACTCTGCCTGGAGACTCAGTCTTCCGGGAAGACAGAACGGGAGAGCAGAACCCTAAACCAGACTCTGGCAAAGTTGTGCCAGGAAACAGGAACATTGGTTAAAGTTACTACCAACAGCTCTCACCAGAGTGAGAGCTACCCCAAAGGGCAAACTAAAATCTTGGCCCATTTGGGATGACGTACGGGAGGGCTTTCCAAAATGCTCTGACTCCTTCTCACCTCCAGACCCACCGGTTTCTCAAGCCATTAAGCGTATAATTAATCTCTGACAGGTGATGGATACACTCAACAAATATGAAAATTTTTCCCCCCTCTACCCACCGAAATTAAGCTTCACCCAAATGAAACTGGGGACTGTAGTAATACCCGGTGCATGTGGTTAACATGCTCTTCCTTCCCGTTAGAGGGAGCCCTACCTTGAATCCACCCTAGGAGAGTAAAACAGGCATCTACCCAGAGACCCGGGGGCCGGG